AGTATGCATTGATCCTCTTTTATTTGTACAACATACGAATGGATCCAGCACAATCTACAGGTATTTATACAAAGTATGCACGGATTTGCGTGTATATGTATGACACATGTAGAGCTTTATGTATTTCTAAAAAATACACTTGAATCTGGCTAAATCCTTGGGCTGTGATTTAAATCTTTTTAAAATAAAATAAGTAAATCTTCAGCTGGGGACTTATATTCTTTCATCAGGCTAAAAGCTATGTACCCACTGAGCCATTTTGACAGATTATTATTCCTATTACGGCATATCACCATATTCCTCCACGATAGGTGCACACAGCCAGATGACTAATTGTAAAGTCGAATTTTGTGTTTTTTAGTAAACATTGTCTTAGTTGTTGCTATAGTATTAATTGTATCCTTCTTTGTTCTAACTTCCTTATTGACATCACTGAAACTTTTCTCATTGGATGTTTACTTTTATGTTCATCTGAGCAATTTAATTTTGGGAGGGGACGGAGGAAGCAGGGACGATGGCGTAATTTTTAAATGCATTTAATTAATTTACCTGAACAAAATTATGTTTGTTGTAGGTTTCCCGTACGGAAAAATGACACAAATTGAACTTCAAAATCAAATTACCAGAAGGACATTACTCTTAATAATAGATATATGCATTTCATTAATTCGGTAATTATTGTATCCAAATCTTTACAGTAATTTCTCCAGAAAATCAGTCTGCTCCAGTATGCACTCAGGTCAACCTGTTGGAACATATTTCCAGTAAAATAACCTCTTGATCTGCACAAAAGGTCTCTTGATCTACACAGTGACAGTGGCAATGCAAATATACAAGCTGTTCCAGAATAAGTAAATAAAAATTCCACTGAATCACAAGGAAAATAAAATGAAAAATATGCAATCCAATAAAACCGATCTTTTTCATGATTGGGTAACAGCATTGCCACTCCTATGTCAACCCAATAGTTGTCTAATTTAATGAATGGAGTGTTAATTAAACATAGCTATCTTTTACACAAGCCAAGTATGTGCTTTTTAGAAGGAAATTGGGATGTCTTCCCAGCACAGAATAGTTTGTCAGACTGAAAGCATTTCCTTTCCTGGGCTGTGTCCCAGATCTCCTAGAGGAGAAGAATCGCAGTTTAGTTCAGGTAAAAACACATGACAATTACTGGAATAGCTATTCATCCATTGAGCCAGTCGTCCATTAAACAGGGTGAACGATTTTATATATATTTATAAATGAGTAAGGGGTTCAGTGGACATCCTTGTCACGTTACTCACAGATGTTGTAGAATTACAACTCCCATGATGCTTTGCCAGCCTTAAAGAATAGCAAAGCATTATTGGAAGCTGCATTTATACAATATTTGAGGATTATACCATTTGCTCACCCGTGTTCTAGATTAGAACCAGTGGCTTTATTGGATCTCCAATACATACCAGTGACTTTGGTGAGTCAAATATGGCAACTAGGAAGAAGAGGTGTTACTCAAGCATGCTAAAGGATTACTTTACATTTAATGGCATCCAAAATTGTGTTCTGCAATTAAAACAAAAAAATCAATGATAACACAAAGCAAGAACTGCAAACATTGCACAGTAGTTGCATGCACATACACAGGTCATAATTGTCATACGCGGGTCACATTTGCATGTACATGCACCTTCACACACAGGTCATAGCTGCATACACATTCACACACAGACCGTGGATGACATTTTATAGATCTCCTTTAATTTGTGTGACCAGACCCCACAGGTGGTGATAGGCGAGGCTATTGATGTTCTCCATTATTTAATATATAAAGCAGGCTTCTAGGGGTCCTAATTCGGAGGCGTTGACTCTAGTGACAACAATATTAAAATCCATGCATCCTTATTAACTGACTGAACATAGAATGTTGTTTTGATTGTCTATGGAAATTGCTACATGATGGCCAGAATTGACTGGGTCTCAGTCTTGAAAAAGTTTTGAGGGTCTCATTCTAGATTCATATGATAAACTAAAAGGACTTAATGTATCAAGTCCATGTTGTTTACCCAAACCCTGGATCAGATTGTGAAGTCAGAGTGGCAGTCAACAGAGTGGGGCCCAATAGGTACTGCTTTGGATATCACTAGTTCCATGTCAGGAATACCCCATAGTGGGGTAATTTTGGTTCCATGTTGGATGGGTGTGTATGTAGGTCTAAAATGTTTTAAATTTTGTAAAAATCAACTGAAAGTTTATTTCTGAATTGCCTCAAATTCCCCCAAACTTCTTTTTTAGTGAACTACCCCGTCATATATCCCACTAGTTTTCACTCGCATGTTCCAATGTATCAGTCCTGTTGTACATGTTGATATCACCTGTCTATAACTGCGCAGTGAAATGGCTTACATTTCCAATTACATCAGTATCCAAGTTAAATCTGTCAAAGACAAATGTAGAGAATTTCGGAATAAATGATTTCAAATTTGCTATTAAACCAGTAAAAGCATTAATACACCTTCCCGTATTCTTGACCTGTTTCATTTTACTACTGAGCATAAAGTGTGGCTCAGGTCCTGCTCTTCTCCTATAATGCATGACCAGTTCAGCTGCAGCTGGCGTCCATTCCATTTGTGAAATCATTAAAGAGGAAGTTAACATCTGTCTTGGGTTAGAATAACAAGAAGGCCTATGACGTCAGCTGTAGTGAACTACGAGTCCCAGAATACATAGCTTACCAAGAAGAGCTTTTAGAGCTTGGAACATATTGGTACATATTGTACCTGTATCATATCATATTATATCATATTATGTGTAACATATTGTACCTGTATTATATCATATTATGTGTAACATCTCGTATATGTATTGTATTGTGCGCAACAAATTGTATCTGTACTGTATTGCATTATGTGTAAGATATTGTATCTGCATTGTATCGTATTATGTGCGACATATTGTACCTGTATTGTATTGTATTATATGTAAGATATTGTATCTTTATTGAATCTGTATTGTATTATTCAATATATTTTATCTGAACTGTATCGTATTGTATTATGTGCAACATATTGTATTATTATTATTATTATTATTATTGCCATTTATATAGCGCCAACAGATTCTATAGCGTTTTACAATATTATGAGGGGGATGATTTAACTATAAATAAGACAATTACGAGAATTCTTACAGGAACGATAGGTTGAAGAGGACCCTACTCAAACGAGCTTACAGTTTATAGGAGGTGGGGTATAAAACACATTAGGACAGGAAATAGTGATCAAATAAGGTGGGAGTGAAGCAGAGCTGGAGGAGAGAATAAAGTGCTGCCCTTTAGGAGAGAGCAAGGGACAGGTATGTAAGGTATAGGTTACTCTGGGAGGCCATAAGCTTTCCTAAAGAGATGGGTTTTAAGGCATTTCTTAAACGATTGAAGACTAGAGTCTGATGGCAGTAGGCAGGCTATTCCATAAGAAGTGAGCCGCCCGTGAGAAGTCCTGCAAGCGTAAGTTAGCCGTACTAGTGCGAGCGGGAGACAGGAGAAGGTCACGGGCAGAGTGGAGAGACTGAGAAGAGTCTGTGAAGAGATATAAGAGGGACTAGAATTGTTCAGTGCATTATAGGTATGGGTTAGCACTTTGAATTGTATCTGTATTGTATCGATATATGTGTAAGATATTGTACCTGAATTGTATAATATCACATTATATGCAATATACTGTGTCTGTATTGTATAATATCGCATCATGTGCAGTATATTGTGTCTGTATTGTATAATATCGCATTATGTGCAATATATTTTATCTGTATTGTATAATATTGCATTATGTGCAATATACTGTGTCTGTATTGTATAATATTGCATTATGTGCAATATACTGTGTCTGTATTGTATAATATCGCATTATGTGCAATATACTGTGTCTGTATTGTATAATATCGCATTATGTGCAGTATATTGTATCTGTATTGTATAATATCACATTATGTGCAATATACTGTGTTTTTGTCAGGATTACAGAATGATCCAGCACGCAGAAGTGTGTAACACAGAGGACTGATAGGTAACGTATATCGGACCTTAGAATGGCCGGACTAACATACTAAAGAATAGTCAGGAATGGCCGAGGTCAAGGGAAACAGAAAGAGACACAACGATAAGGAAAAGCCAGGAGTCAGGGATGCCAGAAAACAGGGAAGTCAAAAACAATGCCAAAGTCAAATAACCAGAATTACCAGAATTACCAGAATCAATAACGCGCTCTCGGACAACCACAAGGGAAACCACGACAGGGCACTGAGCAGGATGAGAACTGGGCCTAAATACCCCTCCTCTAGATCTGATAGGCTGTAACCGGCCTTCAACCCCAAAGGCAGTTATCATGTTACCATTTGCATAATTGCTGCTCAGCATTAACCCTTCTGTGGATTTGGTTGCTGCTCGGCACAACTTTTCCTGTGTGGACAGTAAATGCCATTAACCACATTTTTATAAGAGGCTGAATACGTGACAGTTTTTATGTTTTTATAATATCGCATTATGTGCAATAAATTGTATCTGTATTGTATAATATCGCATTATCTGCAATAAACCGTGCTTTGCCAGCCTTAAAGAATAGCAAAGCATTATTGGACGCTGCATTTCTACAATATCTGAGGATTCTACCATTTGCCCATCCATGGTCTAGATTAGAACAAGTGGCTTTATTGTATAATGTCGCATTACATGCATCACATCGTATCTGTATTTTATTGTATTGTATTGATATGAAGTACCAGTGATCTCTCTTCTTTTGGCCTCATATTTACATGTTTCCAGTTAATTTTTTAAATCTGAAGAAACTTCAATTCTGCATTAACTTTCCGTTGCCTGCAAAGCTGAGCGTGAAGAAGGCTCAGACTGCTGGCATAAACATTCCTGACACTCCCTGGAGTTGGCAGTGAGAAAGGAAGTTCTCAACAGGAAACACGGTCCCCGGGTGATGTTCATACACTGGGCAAAAGCGAGAAAAACAGCAGCCATGGCAAAAGGGCTGGAGCCAGCACATCAATATATTCCATCCAGTCTGAGTGTGATTCATTCATCACGCCCGGGCAGCAGTATGAGGAAAGCACCTGTCTCTGAGTATAACAAGCCAGTGCCACCCAGCTCGGACAGACGTCATGCAAGCAGTAATTCTACCCATTTGGATCGAGTTCTGAGTGCTGCAGAACTTGCTGGGGTTTTATAAATAAAAATAATAAAGAAGTGAGTTTTGGTTCCTCGGAGTAACGTGAGCCTATTGTTTATGACTAGAACATAGTTTACTAGCTAAAATCTAATTTAATATCTAAAGGTGAACTTTACTGTAAATATTGTTCTATTGTATCACACAGTAGGTTATCAAGCTGTTTCGTGTTCCTGTTGTCCATAGTGCCAATAGTTGTGTTTTCTGGTATGAGACACAAAAGCGAGTGAGAGGGCTTTGTCCTTAATGTAGTATTGTCATCTGAAAATGTCTTTCTATAAATCCATTAATACAGTAAGACAAACTGATTAATGTTATTTCCATGTAACCAAGCTGTTTAGCCGGAATTACCACTTGAAGATCTGTCAATGTTTCAATGAGGAGGCAGCCATCTTGGAATTTCTTAACACTTCTCAAACCCTCAGTAACAGTTGCTGATATAAAAACAAGTTTACAGAGATAGTGTGATGTCAGCAGCCAATCAGGGTCAATAATTTGAAGAGTAACTCCCAGCGTTCCATTGAGAAGGAAACAGGAAATGATTGAGCTCTCCGATGATGCTCTGTGTCCAACATGCTCAGGGCTTAGCTGGAAAGGTTTATTGTGGCGTCTTTTTATAATAAAACAAAAAAGGTCTGAACCGACTTAAAGATAATAAAAACAAAGTACAACAGAAATTTTAAGATTGCTTTAAAATTAATCTAATGCACATGTTTTTAGTGGGTTTCTGTTATTTGGAGGTCGAACACCCTTTCAACAGCTCAAAAAAACATGGAGTCTAGTGTTTTAAAGGAAAATAATTAAAACTGTGCTGGAATTGGAACATTTTATGAAATGTTTTATTTTTTTATTTTTTATTATTGTCCCCCGCCCCCCCTCCTCCCCTCCAATCCTGCACAGGATATGTAAAAAAAAACACAGTGAGAGAAAAAAGTATTTGATCCCCTGCTGATTTTGAACGTTTGCAAAGAAATGATCAGTCTATAATTTTAATGGTCGGTGTATTTTAACAGTGAGAGACAGAATAAAAAATAAGAAATCCAGAAAAACACCTGCATTAATCACCAGAACGAGGGAGACCGACAGTTATTTTGTGCTTCTTCCATCTGCGAATAATCGCATCAACTGTTGTCACCTTCTTACCAAGCTGCTTGGCGATGGTCTTATAGCCAATTCCAGTCCCTGACGTCCTTGGACAGCGCTTTGGTCTTGACCATGGTGGAGAGTTTGTAATCTGATTGAACACCATCCCCACCGTCAAACATGGAGGTGGAAAGATTATGCTTTGGGGGTGTTTTTCTGCTAAGGGGACAGGACAACTGCTCCGCATCAAAGGGACGATGGACGGAGCCATATACTGTCAAATCTTGGGTGAGAACCTCCTTCCCTCAGCCAGGGCATTGATAATGGGTCGTGGATGTTTATTCTAGCATGACAATGATCGAAAACACACAGCCAAGGCAACAAAGGAGTTGCTCAAGAAGAAGAACGTTGAGGTCTTGGAGTGGCCTAGCCAGTCTCCAGACCTTAATCCCATAGAAAATCTGTGGAGGGAGCTGAAGGTTCAAGTTTCCAAACGTCAGCCTCAAAATCTTAATGACTTGGAGAGGATGAGATGTGTGCAAACCTGGTGGCCAACTACAAGAAACGTCTGACCTTTGTGATTGCCAACAAGGGTTTTGCCACCAAGTACTAAGTCGAAGGGGTCAAATACTTATTTCACTCATTGACATGCAAATCAGTTTATAACTTTTTTGACATGCGTTTTTCTGGATTTTTTATTTTTTTTTGTTATTCTGTCTCTCACTGTTAAAATACACCTACCATTAAAATTATAGACTGATCATTTCTTTGTCAGTGAGCAAACGTTCAAAATCAGTGCTGGATTAAATACTTTTTTCCCCAGACTGTACCTCTAATCCAGAGGGAGATTATCACTAGAAATTATCTTTAGGCCAATCCAATGCTTCTCTATGAAGGCACGGGGGCAAGCACAGCTATCTCTTCCGTCTGCTGGCAATGCTTCCCACCATGATCCACTCATAAAGACACTATGAAATTAAAGAGAAGTCCTCACTTTCGCTTTGAGTTCAAAATGAGTCTGAAAGTGGACCTACCAGCTGGTTGTGTGACAGTGAATGGTGTTTTTTCCAACACGTGTTAATAAATCACACGGTTTCTCTTAGGTTTGTCACTTTTATAAAATGAGACAAAGGCACATGTTCTGAACCCCTAAAGCATTTCAGCCTGAGGGATTTGGAGTGTTGCTTTAAATGCTTGATGTTCATTGATTGCTTGCGTGTTGTGATAAATGGTCTGATGTCATCATCTTCATCAAATGGTCGTGGTGTATCGCGTGCCGTAATCAGCAATATTTACCTGGGATTGATCTGACCACGTTAGCAGTTACAGAGCACCCCCAGTATAATCATCTTGACCATCAGTCCATCAAAATTAAAAACTAAATATATCTTTTTTTATTTAAATAATTTGATAATGTGATAAGAGTTTATGTCCCAGAAAATGAGTAAGCAGTTTATTATTTGTATTTTGGAGACTTGGGTTGGACAGCCCAGAGCTATAGGATTTCCGTTTCTGTAAAATATAATGGATTTTGTTTCTTCTGACGGTGGCAAATTCTCTGTTCTTTAGAAATGCTCCTGGGGTTATCACGCATTGGTCACATTTCAGCAGACGTGTTTGTGCATGAATACCCACAGACACACACTGACAGGCACACACACTGCACTGTGCTAACCATCACTCAGCAATATACTGAGTTGAGTCAGGCCAGCTGTGTGTCACTGGCTCAAAGCCAGAATAAGGCTTCGGACTGTCTGTTTGTATACGGATAATGGAATTCTTTCCCCACTGCAAACAATGATGCCAAACACAGAACTCAGATCTGGTATATCAAGCACCAATCTCAATAATCCTACAACAATCTCTATGATTGTCTTTCAACTGCAGTTCCCATGATCCTCAGCCAGCACGCATGTCTCTCTGTATATGCCCATGCAGTATCCCACTGAATAGCACTATATTGTAATAGTGGGGACATAACAATAAAATATGTAAATGGCCCCAGAGTATGGTGTACTGGTTATGGTCCTTGGACTGTTCCTCTTTTAAAGGAACACTCAAAACACCTAAACCATTTAAACTTGTAAAGTGCTTTATGTGTGATGAATGTGTCCCTTTTTTTTTTACTAAAAGTGCAGATTTTGTTAAAAAGTGGCACTTTTATATAGTAATCTTGTTATACCCCCTGGCTGTCAATCAGACAACAGGTCCTGTTACTTCCTGGTTTGGTTAGCTAATTGGAGATTAACTGCTCAGAGCACGTGCCTTGCAAAGACTTCTCATTGAGGTGCCTGGACTGTTTCCATCCATCTTGTTTACCTGCTTCCTCTGTTTTATCTTGTTTTTTCACAACTTTCATTTTTTTTTATATTTTCAATCCATTCTCCCCTTTCTTAGGTTATTTTTCCTTTTTTTTTCCATTTCCTCCCTCCAGTTCCTGTGCATTTGCCATTTTTCATCTCCCTTTACCTTGTTTTTTCTTTCTGATATTTTTGTTTATCCGTTTAGTTCCATTCTACTCTCCCCCTTTCCTTATTTAGTTTCCCAATTCTCCAAGGATCATTCGAAAGGCACAGACTCATAGAATTACCTGAGCTTCTACTATCCAGCTTCTGGGCAATCCCATATTCTGATTGGTTAATTATTTATGTATCTACACACAGTTTAGTAAATGGATGCCATAATCCTTTGTGAGTTGTTTGCCTGAACAGATACATTATATCACATCCTCAATGATATGTCCCATTATTGCCTTCCACCGGCTGTTCAGAGAAAATCTTTACAATTTCTTGCAAGTTAGGTTCTAATTGTTAATTGTTATTTAGCTTTCTTATTGTCCCAATGAGATGGATGATTCAGCGGGGTTTATGTTAATTTGTTAGGCCTTGCTTGTACGAGCTGTGAATGCCCTTTGTTGATGTGTCAGGGACTTGCAGAGCGACCCACGTCAATGCAGCACAATAAATATGTTTCGAAGACTCGCTTGGCATTTTGTATTGTGCATTAATGGGCATTAAATCAAAATAATGCCTTCTCAAATGTCCCTAAGGCCTCATTCCTCCATGGTACCCTGAGTTTTTTTTGTATTTACACGCAGAGTATGTAGTCCTTTGGCTAAAGTGTCTGGGTATTTTGTTGAATGGAATGCTGTCTGTATGGAGGTTAAACAAGACAAGAGAATGAGGCACAGACATTTTATATTACTAACACTATTATAGACATCGCTGGAAGAGGTTCTGAGTCCAGGGACCTGCTACAATTTGTCAGTGAATTTAAGAGTAGAGATTTCTTTATTTTAAAAAATGGTTAGTTAAGCATGTTTTTTCTTTAAAAAACATAAATAATATTATATGTAAATAATATTATATGTTTTGAGTTTCTTTTTTTTTTATAATTTCAATTTCAAGTTATAAACCTTTAAAAACGATAAGGAGACAAAAACAAGCACACGTACAAGCTCAGTACAAAGTTTCAATATCTAAATGTAAGATTTGTAACAAGTTTGGGTCCAATGGTAGCTCAGAACATCACGTGTAGTAGACAAAATCTATCCAAACAGCATTGCCCAAATAACATCAATTGGGGGCATAGTGGAGCAGACCTGACAGCGGTAGCAGGTCGATTTGGGGAAGGAGAGAGGGAGTACCCATAATGCTGTTGGACTCAAAGGTGATATTCCAGCCTGTAAAGGGGGTGTTACTAAGGCCCAATTATGCCAGGATGATGACCAGCTGCCCGGCAGAGTAGCTCCAATAGACACGTGTTGCCTGAATGCTGAGTGCTGCTGAGGCACTCACATGGAGGCTGACATAATTTAACAATAAAATGTTTATGTCTTTGTGTTGCAGTTGTGTATATTTC